TACCGCAGAAAGAAATGGCAACCGACTGCGGGAAAAAATCTACCTCGTCAGTCATGTATCGAAAGATACATGATAGCCTAAGCGTGTATCACGCATGGCACACAACTGAGTGACTGATTATTCATTGATTAAAAAGAGTAAATTTCTCCCTTTCTAACCTTTAAGAAATTTTATACATCGGTATTATCTCTATCCTTATCTATACCAAACCTGATAAAATTAATTGTTGCTGTGAATGTGTGTGTAAACCTCGCTTATTTTGCAGCTATTCATATCTTCTTTATTAAAATAATAATTGCCATTGTTTTTGTATAGACGTGACTACTTTGTTCGTATGATTTTCTGTTTACAAATGGCCGACTTTAAATAATGAAGTCTTATCTTTTTGATGGCAAAACAAATATCACAGACAACTTTTGCACAGATTCAACCTCCAATTTTTCTTTGAGATTCTTTTAAACTGTGGATAATCGTCTGACATAAACAAAACGAATAAATACATCTAAATAATAAAAAGGAAACAATGTATCATTTACATACTTTCTTCTTCCGTTAATTTCATTGGGTAATGAGTGAGACCAATTAAACCTCATTGAATATTCAGAAACATCAAAGACAGTCTCTTTGTCTTTGAAGTTTCCATTGAAACAAGGCAAATTATTTGAGTTAAGATTACAATTGTCATTTCAGGTGCCAAGAATCCGGTTGAAAGGTCATTGCTGTGTAAGATACGAAACTTAAAGATTCAAGGTTTTTGAAAGAAATTACTTTGCATTATTTCTATTCTCTTCGAATTTAATCCTGAATTCTCGAACTTTCTATCAAATTGTTCGACCTACAACTATTATTTCACATTTCATTTATTTTGATGTCTTTCATGTTTTTCGTTCCAATGTTTTACGACAGATTTCTCAAATAATTTTTATTCTGACCAGTGTAAAATGGAAGAAGGGTTAAGATCTTCAGATAATAACTCATCTTATACACACGCACATACATACCTACCTACCTACATACACACACACACACATACACACACACACACATATATATACATATATATATATTTTATATATATATATATATATATTTAATAGGTGACATCTTGTCATTTCCGGAATTCAGTGTTCGAATATCATGGGTGGTTGATTTGATATTATAAGTCACATTTTAGTGACCGACGATTCGAGTGTGGTGGTCTCATTCAACAACTGATAAACACCAGGCTGTGCAATCTCTCCCAGAAACTGTAACTAAGGTCTTCATAGCATATGTAGATACAGTATAAACAAAATGGTGGCTCTATTTCGGTTGAAGAAAGACAAATGGTACCTGCAATAGGAATTAGCTAGCCGTAATAGCAGACGTGTATACTCGGAAACGACTGGCTATTATTATTATTATTATTATTATTTAATCAACAATACTTGCTTTAATTTCTGACTAATGATAGTCCTTTTGTTTCTAATTTTCATATCAAAACATGCAAACTGAATTTAATAGTCAGTGTCCATCTTTATTCACCGTAATCACCGTGCGTAGTCACGTGATCTGCTATTATTTAACCTGATATTGTCAAGCAATTATATAACCACTCATTTTGATTAAAAAAAACATTATCCTTCAAAAACATAATTTTTAGAAAAAGGAAATGATAATAATAATAATCGTTTTCATGCTTTAAAAATTGAACTTTCTTTTTATATATATATATACGCCGAGGAAGAAGAAAAAAGGAATTTCTTCGGTCAAGTAATGTCAGAAAAAAATGGAAATAAAAAATACACTTATACTTAAAATTAGAAAGAGAAAATTGAAATTTGTAAGACACATAATATAAAAAGAGGGCTTAGAAAATTTGACACCCACAAGTCATTTAAAGCAAGATCTTATAAATGTTTGGCAGAACAGGGATTAGGAAAAATAGACAAAACATACTAGGAGCTGCAAAGGACAGGAAATTGTGGAGAGCCATGGTCGTCCACGTACTGAAGGAGTACGGCACATAGAAGAAGAAGATGTTAGTGATATATTCGTGAAAGTCATTACACGTAATTCCCCCTTCGTTCTATTTATCATATTAAAATTAGACTCGTCACTAATATATTAGAAATAATAAACTAGTGGGTTGGTCGATTCGTTTTCTACGGTTTATCAACCCTTTGCAGGTTATTTAAAGCCAGAAAATATTTTTAGATTGTAAGGATTTTTTGGTCGGTGATAATAATGATTTAGTGATACAAGTTAATTAATCCATAGCTTGGGGAGGTAGGAGATGGTTTCATACTTTTCCTAACGGTATTTTTAGACGTAAGTGAATATAACGAACCCAACTGGAATTGGAACACGGATCTCCTATTAATAATTCCGAGCCATTATCCATGAAACCAACATCCAAGCTTACAGCACCTCGTATGCCCAAGTGGTCACCCATCTAGGTAATGACCAGGCTTGGCGTTGCTTAACTTCGGTGATCGCACTGGAACGGGTGTTTCAACGTTATGTGGCTGTAAGCAAAATAGTAAACTAAGGACATGTTGTGTTTATCTCGTTAATATAATCAAGTTTAAAAGATATAATTAAATTTAAAAATCAGTATTGACTATATACATGGAAAAAATCAGTGATATACGAGAAAAATATATTCATACATTCGTTAATGTATTATATTTTAAGGCGTTGTTCTAGTAAAAAAAAAAAAAAAAAAAAAAAGATCCTCTTCAAAAACGTTAGGTTCCAACACATTAAACCGAAAAGAATTAATTTCATTTATTTCCCTCGTCCCAGCTGTCAGTCTGCCGACAGTTTCTTTTGTTTATTTGTCGTAAGACAATTGGGTACGTCTAGCCAGAAAGACACAGCTGGTGTGGTTTAATAAAATCGTCTTTGGGATTGTCGAACAGATAATGACATGAACAAAATAGCGAGAGTACAGGATCTCTACAACATCAAACGGAAATTTTATTTATATACATTTTACTTATATCAGTGTTTTGTCCAAATCTAGGTTCTGTGAAACGTGGAAGCTTGTTAGAAATGCAATAAATACATATTGATATATAATGACATTTACTGAAATTGCTTTGTGGATGAGATATTTACGCTATACTATTAGTGAATAGTATACGACCCAATATTTCAGAAATAGAAAGGTATTTTTTTTTCATATCACAAGTTAGTTTAATCAAAATACGTAAAGGGGTTGTTGTACACGATTTCGTTTTGGTTTGGTTTGGTTTGGTTTGGTTTGGTTTGATTTGGCTTGGTTTTGTTTGGTTTGTTTTACGGCATATTAACTTCAATGCCAATAAGATATTTATTGTTGGTAATATTTTTACCAAAAATATATTGTCGGTAATAACTTTTTCCTCAAAAATGCATTGCTGATAATATTTTTTTCTTCAAAAATTTATTTCAGGTACTACTGTTTTTCCTCAAAAATGTATTGCTGGTAGGATTTTTCCTTCAAAATTGTATTTCTCGTGAAATTTTTCCTTCACAAATGTATTTCTGATAAGATTTTTCCCTCAAAAATGTATTGCTCGTAATATTTTTTTCATTCCAAAATGTATTATTCGTAATATTTTTCTTCAAAAATGTATTGCTGGTAATATTTATTTTCTTCATAAATGTATTTCTGGTAATAATGAATTGCTGGTAATAATTTTTCCTTCAAAAAATTATTGCTGGTATTAAAACCTATTTTTACACTTTCATAGTGTTTTAACCCCATTTCCGAGGTTAACGATTTGTCCATATTTGGGACCCTAACAGGTGCTACCACCCCGGATCAGAGAGGACTTGGTGGAAACAACAAAGAGGTCATTTCAGGCGCCTCAAAACTTCCTGCTCTGAGGCCTATCGTCTTACCAAGGACGCCTAGATTTCGTTTTTATAATTTTTAATAAATGTTACTAAAAATCATCAAATATCAAAACAGTATGTGATTAAACATTTCAATACGAGCAGCATGGCTGTCTTTCATGATTGCAAGGTGAATTTGCTAAGCAGTTTGTTAGTGTAACAATTTTAATCATCACTGAATGAGCCACACTTATGAGCTTGTGCTGCAAAATGCAAAGTGTAGAAAATAAATTAAATCCAGATAATGACATTAATTGACCTACTCTGACTAAATTTATGATAATTATTGCATTTTTGTATGTCTAACAGTCAGCCTTATATCTGTATATGCACTGTTAAAACAAAACTGAACCACCTGGTTAAAATTTCAGTTTGTTCGAAGTTATAATCAAGGTAATATAATCGATTCTTGATGTTATGGCAAGTGTGATTATTTGCCAGTCTGTATACCATCGGCATTTTAACTTAGACATGTTGTACTGGTTATCAAGAGCTGGGAAGAGGAGGGCTAGGGAAGAGGATGGCTAGAGAAGAGGAGGGTTAAGGAAGAGGAGGGTTAAGGAAGAGGAGGGTTAAGGAAGAGGAGGGTTAGGGAAGAGGAGAGCTAGGTAAGAGGAAAGCTGGGGAAGAGGAAAGCTGGGGAAGAGGAAAGCTGGGGAAGAGGAGTGTCAGGGAAGAGGAGAGCTAGGGAAGAGGAAAGCTAGGGAAGAGGAAAGCTAGGGAAGAGGAAAGCTCCGGAAGAGGAGAGCTAGGAAGAGGAAAGCTAGGGAAGAGGAGGGTTAGGGAAGAGGAGGGTTAGGGAAGAGGAAAGCTAGGGAAGAGGAAAGGGAAGAGGAGGGCTAGGTAAGAGGAGGGTTAGGGAAGAAGAGGGTTAGGGAAGAGGAAAGCTAGGGAAGAGGAGGATTAGGGAAGAGGAGGGTTAGGGAAGAGGAGAGCTAGGGAAGAGGAGGGTTAGGGATGAGGAGGGTTGGGGAAGAGGAGAGCTAGGGAAGAAGAAAGCTAGGGAAGAGGAGGGTTAGGGAAGAGGAGGGTTAGGGAAGAGGAGGGTTAGGGAAGAGGAAAAGGGAAGGGGAGGGTTAGGGAAGGGGAGGTTAGGGGAAGAGAAAACTTAGGGATGAGAAGGGTTGAGGAAGAGGAGAGCTAGGGAAGAAGAAAGCTAGGGAAGAGGAGGGTTAGGGAAGAGGAAAGCTAGGGAAGAGGATGGTTAGGGAAGAGGAGCGTTAGGGAAGAGGAGAGCTAGGGAAGAGGAAAGCTAGGCGCTAGGCAAGAGGAAAGCTAGGGTAAAGGAGAGCTAGACAAGAGGAGAGCTAGGGAAGAGGAGAGCTAGGGAAGAATGATTTATTCTCCCATTTGTATTTCTCTAGCTATAGGCATTATTATATTCCTGACATAATAACACCGTACTCCACGGAATGGCAGAAGGGAAAAGAATGACTAACATGCTTTTTTTTCAGAGAGAGTTTTATGCTACGACGTATACAAAGTTAGAAATATACACGTATGCACGTGTCCCACGCAGATAAATTATAACATATATGCAACAACAAACCTTATTTGTAATTTTTCCCGAAGGGAAAATTGGAGTTTCGGTGGTTTCTCTATCAACCAGGATAGACCATGTGATTTTTTTTTTCTGTAACACCTACCGCTGTCGGATAGGGACGTCCTTCTTCTTCGGGCTCTACATCACAACTTCCCTTTGTCCTTCTCCAGCCGTGACGTGACCCATTCCCTTTCACTCCCTTTCGTTGTGATAGTCACATGACTATCACAACGAAAGGGAGTGAATTGTCATTTGTATCCCAACACAAAGACCAAATTTCAACCTAACTACAACAATATATGTTTTTTGATTCCAAAGAAAACGTGATCAACACTTTAACATTGCTTTCATATTCGTAATTAAGAAGATTCAGAAAAAAATTATGTTTGCAAAAATACCGGTAAACTGCAAATGGAGTGTTTATTAACTGCTTGAACCATTTCTGTAAATTTCCAAGCAAAATGGAAAATGCTTTAATACAGATTTTTTGAGTTGAACATAAAAAACATTAAATGTACATTGCTTGAAAGAATTCTTATCATTTTAGTGTCATTATTTTTTATGCTATATACAGTGTACGGTGAGTAAATTATCGCCATTTTATATTCTTAATTTCGCTCATGTGCGTTATTTGTTTTTTATTTGTCGTCTGCACAGTACAGTAGGGCCAGTTGGGCACCTGCTGTGAGAAAAAGAGCACCATGATGCAATTCACTCAACCAGAAATTTCAAAATGGCGTGCAATACTGCTCAGAATTCGTGTTTGGGAGTCAATCTGAAGACGGTTCAGAGGATTCGGAAAGAGTTGGATGAGTCTAATGGTGATTACAAATTTACGGCCGTTCGGAAAACTCACCCTGTTCATTCTAATGAGAAAATAACTTCCGAATTTGTTGATGTGGGCCTCAGACTCAACACGGAGGCCTACATCGTGCCTTGAGAAGATAGTGCTTCCCTGGGTCAAGAGTATGGCTGCTGGAAGATCCTATGTCTGGCAACAGGATTCTGCACCATGCCACACAAGCGGGAGACAATTCTGCAACCACATCACCCCTTATATCTGGCCAACTCACTACCCAAAATGTAACCCCCTTCATTATTATGTGCGTGGCGCTGTTGAGCGAGAGACCAACAAAACACCTTGTAACACTAAAGATGAACTGATGGCAAGGATTGTGGCAGCATTCACTAACTTAAATAGAGACCGTCCAGAATAGTTTCAGGAGATTTCGAAGTCGTCTGGAGGCCTTGATTGAAGCCAATGGCGATTTTATTAAATATATGTACTCTTTAGTATTACAAGATATTTTGTGTAATTTTGGTGAATATATGTGTTAAAACGAGATGTCGGTGGTATGTTCATTTATGGGTAATTTAAACGACCGGTTGTAGAGAAAAATGACTTAATGCCCAGTCACCGATTGAACAGTGGGTAAACACTTGCGTTGTGTTTGCTATTGGTTGTCTTGTGACAGAGAGAGAGTCCGGGAAACACACACACACGTATATTTTTTTAGTGATATCGGAGTAGATTCGAATAGCGAAATTAAATCAGAGCATTTTGTCTAATGATAGGGAAATCTAATCTAGGGCAGAAGTTGTACCCATTGAATCTGGGTCATCAATAGACAATGGAAATGGGGGAATTTTTATCGATTAAAAATTGAAATAGAGCTGGGTAAGCTAGAAGGATCTTTGGAATTCACATGATTTTGGTTGAAGCAGCCAGAACCCCCGTGATAATCGTGTTCGAAGAAGTAGGGCCGAGGATCAGTTATAGCCAGCCAAGTTTAGCTATATAAGCGGGTAGTCATGCTAAAAAAGACAGACGGGAGACAATTCTTAAAGAGAGAATTGGCCCGGGCGAGCGTTGGGAGGAGGAATGCCACTATAACTTTAAGCCCCGCACAGAAATCTTTATCCCTCCATCGCAAGAGTCATATAATGTTCTGAGACAATTTAACAACAAGATAATCACATACACACACACACACTCTCTCTCTCTCTCTCTCTCTCTCTCTCTCTCTCTCTCTCTCATCCAGTATATGAGGGTTTTTTGTGTTTTTTTTTAACTTTTCTCTTCTGTAACTCGT